GGAGGGCATGCGTGTACTCATAAAGGGACATTTAAGGAATATTTTGCTGAGGAAGTTTCGTTAACGACGGCAATCTGCGAAGAAAAAAGGCCGAAGTGCGACCTGGGTAAAATGTCTTTTTTTTGTGCCCTCCTGTATATAAAGCGCCATGTCTGTCTGTGTGTGTTTGTGTGTCCGCATGTGTGTGTGTCATGAAAGGGATAGCACGCGTCCCAACAGGAGATGACTCGTCCAGATCACGGTCCATTAGATTATAGTGATTGATCGGTCCAAACGGAGCGCGCCAGAGTAGACTGGACTGTAGATGCCTGCTAAGGTGCCTGCTCCGCCATTCTCAACTCTTCTTCCGGCTTCATTCTTGCGCTGATTTCGCTCTGCACACTTCAACTATTGGAATGACTGTAAAGTTACTTCGAAGTGATTGTGTCACGATCATTTTGGAGCTGTGATACATTGCACTTCACAGCAACTTGCAGTGCATGATAACAATTCCTATACGAGGTAAGTATTGTTAAGTCTGTTTGTCAGAGAACAGTTTACTGGAATTTTTTTGTCCCGACTACACTAAACGGTTATCAGGATTTATTTCTCATCCTTTTTGTTATTTTGCCATTGCTTGCGGCCCCAATTCACTAAATAGTTCGCTATTCAGTGAGATGCTGAAGTTAATGTTTCCTAGACTATTAATTTTTACCTAGGACTTGCCTTCTGCATCACTCTGTATCACAGTGTTTGCCACTTTATTCGAAATCCGGTATTTTCTCTAACTCATTGATTTTTTTTGGTGAGTTACTATGTCCGGCCTGACAGACATTTCTCAGTAATTATTGCTAAAGGGGACTTCGAAATGTGCGATGTTGCATCCAATGTGCCTATGGGAGCCACAAAGACATAGAGATTGGGACGAGACATGCCGTTGGCAAAGCAGAGGTGAATCACTGGTTTGGAAATCAGGAATTCCAGTACCTAACGAGGTGAGCACTCAGTGGAATGGGATCGCAAGCGGTGAGAAAACATTGGAAAGCAACATTCATTAGCAAGAAGATGATACACAATCACTGGGTTGGGAGAGCCCAATCAGACCAGGAAAACCATATGTTGTGGCCTCGAAAACTTTTGAGGTCTACTCCATTGGGGAGCATGTGGTGCGTTCTTTAACTTTACACCTTGGAAATTCTAACTCTGAAAAGTCGGAAAGCACTGTGGGTGGCACAAACATTGCACCACATAGCTTTTTTACTGAAGCACACTCAACTTTCTATTTTTTCTCTCCAATAATGCTCGTATTTCTTTTCGGGCGTAATAAAGGGAAAGGTTTCTAACAAGAAGTCTTTTCTGGTACTTATTGAATGCATGAGCGAAAGAGTCATCGATTAGTGTAGCGTGATTGGCCGATGTCAGACTTTGCGATTGGAGCGATTGTGCACAAATTGCAGAGCATCACCTTGTCGAATGACCGAAAGTGTGCTAAGTGCGTGTTTATATAGCCGTTGGGGATCTATCACAATCATGCCATTGCAAAACACTAATAGCTAAAGTCCTGTGAGCTACATGATTCTGTTAGCGGTTTGTTTATCCCATGAGCTTCCTTCTCACTCACTTCATTTTGCGGACGGACACACACATACAGTCGATATCCGAAAGTTGGGGTAGGTGTGTCACCGGAAGTGACGTGCACTTGATAGAAGTTGCGTGGATAAGCTGTTGCCAGCATGCTTTGCTGATATCCAGCGATGTATGTTGGAAGCAGCTTATCCACATAGCTTCTATCAAGTGCACGTCACTTCCGGTGACACGCCTACCCCAACTCACGGATATCGAGTATACACACACATACAGACATACAAACCGACACACAAAGTTAGCGCTTTATAAAATGACAGATTACAGCATCCTTATTCAAAAAACCATAGAAGATGGAACAGCAAGATGCTGCTCAGTTGATTCCTTTTGAAACACGGTGACTGATTTTCACACATTCATCAATTAGCAGAAAATTTTTCAAGAAATCAAAACTTTGCATGCTCACTTCAATGGTATCAAGCTCGCATACTACAGAAAACCACTGGTAATAAAGCCTTGTAAAATTCAAATACACTTTTTCTAAACAAAAAAGGCTGAACAGTACTTACCCTATAAAAATTGTTATCATGCACTGCACTGCAAGTTGCTGTGAAGTGCAATGTATCACAACTCCAAAATGATCGTGACACAATCACTTCGAAGTAACTTTACAGTCATTCCAATAGTTGAAGTGTGCAGAGCGAAATCAGCGCAAGGAAGGAAGAAGAAGAAGGTCAAGAATGGCGAATCTGCAGTCCAGTCTATTCTGGCGTGCTCCATTCTAGACCGATCAATCACGGTAATCTAAGGCACTGTTCACACCTTGCGCCATAGCCGAAAAACGCTCGAAACGAACGAATCTGCGCAAATGCGAAATGAATGAAATGCGTATCGATCCACAAAATGGGAGGAGCTTCGAATCGCGCATTGGAATCTGCGAATCCTTTTAAAAGGAATGGGTGTCTATCGATCAGTCAATCGGAGATCGCAGCATCGAAACGGCGGTGCGAAAATCCTCCAGCAACGCTAATAGGGCGTGGTTTACTACGTCGATACGCATCTAAACCTTTTCGCATCCGCGTTCGCGCGTGTGGAAATTCTCCTGGTCGATACGTATAATTCTTTTCGCGAATTCGAATATTCGGATGATTCGAAAACTGTGAACAATGCCTAATACTTCGGTGATCCGGACGAGTTATCTGGCAATGATATGGGGAGCGCCTGGGTGGCAACTATAGCTCGTACGCCCCAATGGCAATGTGACCGCGCCACTTGACATACATACATCCTATGCGCGATGTCGTCAACGTCTTAAAGAAGGCTACACGGGATGTCGTCAACGTGTCAAAGAAGGCTATTTCTCACCTTTCGCAATTTGTATTCCGAAAGAGTTATGACGTGTTCACTTCATGAAGTTTTAAGGATATTTTATGGCAAAACGAGGTTACTATGCTGTTGCAAAAGGTCGCAAAGTCGGTGTCTTTGGTTCGTGGGATGAGTGCCGTGTACAAGTTAACGGATATCCTCAGGCAAGGTATTTTGCCATTGTTTAAGGTTTCCAGCCAAAACATTTCAAAGAGTAATGGACTACAGCCTCCATCCTTCAAAATTTTTGTTTAGATATAAAAAATTTGCAACTGAAAACGAAGCTATCGCTTTCATCACGGAGTATCAGCTAGGACGTAGGTCACTTTTCTAGCCTCACCAGTTCTTTAACACATTGACGACAACGAATGAAACATACAGTAGCGGTCAAAAGTTTGGAAACTTTTTTATTTTTGATCTAGCGTAGCCAATAGACAATGAAATTGCCCCGAATTCACATATTATATTCAGAATCAAGTGTAGATTACGATGGGTAACATGATTTTTTGAAAACTGAAATCGCATTTGAAAAATACGAATTTTTATAAGAAATGGCGCGTCAAAAGTTTGGAAACTTCCGAATTCCAAAGCGAATTCGGCAAAATAGCTCTCAAATCCACATGATAAATTAGTTATTTGATGAGTAGCTTTGAATTTCTATGTAGCGTCGTTTTTATTGACATGGAGTTGATTATAAAATAATTTTAGGACTTTTAAGTCGACCTCACACACTGTGAACTAAATCACATTGTTTGGTGGGATTCTTAACTGGAATGTGGGTGAGCGACATGCCACTTCTTCCGTGAGATGTAGAACTCAATTAGACTTCAGATCTTGACTTGGTCGCTTCATAGCAGCTCCTTTTTCTGGGTTGAGGAAGGCGGCAGTGGGGAGGTAGGCCTGCATCGGGTTCATTTCCGTAATAGAAAACCCATCTTTTCCGGCTAGTTCTGACTATCGAAGGTAAGCATTGTATTCTACAGACTATACTTGTACTTAGCCCAACCCACATTTCGCTGGATACCTAGAACTGTGGAATCGCCGAATGGTCGGACACATGTTCATCCATGACAGTACTTCCACTATTTCTGACTGTTGGAATCTCATACTCAAAATGAGGTTCCCATTTGACAAAACACTTCACAGGGTCCACTATATTATTTCTAGGAAGATAGAAATCTCATTCGTCGCTGAGGACAAAGTTTCACCTCTTGGCTCCGGTTCATGTTAGCCGTTAGAGTGCGGAAGCCAGTTGGGCCATCCTGCCCTTGAAGCCCAACAACGGCTTCTTGTTGGGACATCATCCGTAATATTCACCAGGTCGCGGCCGATGTTGGCGTGCACTTGGACTTTCATATGATTAGGAAAAAACCAGAAAAAGTTGTCTCTTAGTTGGGAATGTTGGGGGCACGGGACGTGCCAACCCTTTCGAAGTATTTGAAGAGGACCAACTTTCTTGTGAAGATACTTTTTTGTGAATGATCATTCTTCTTATGCTTACTCGACTCTAATAACGCTAGAAACATCCGATAATATTGCTTCCGTAGAGACTGAACTACTAAGAATCAATTTCTACTTCGTATTTCGGATTGTATGGTTTAACCCATTGCGGACCACCGTTATAACTACACCTCCGTGGGTTTTTGTTACCTATTTTATCACTGGTCAATAACCTATCAAAAATTTAACCAGTATGCAAATATAGTGATATATCCTGTGTCCAAAAAAGTAAACTGATGATTTTGTAACTTAACAAAATGCTGAAAAAATCAAGATTACTATCCTTCTCCGCGTGGTGGCGTGCTGCACATGTGCAGCACGCGGTCCGCAATTGTTAAAAAAGGACCCCATGGAAAAACTGCTTTCTTTGCATATGAATTCATTTTGAAATTACACATTGCTCAATGGTTAACTAAAATTAACAGAAACAAGTAAACATTGAAGAGTAGGAATCATACTGATAGGGGAAACAAAAAGTTTCCAAACTTTTGACGCGCCATTCTTCTTCTTCTTATTCTTCAGCGTTTGTCCCGCTTGTTGGCGGGGTCCGCTTTTCTGATGTGCTGTCGCCACTTTTCCCGATTAAATGCTTGGTCGGGGTGGATGTTAACCAACTTCAAGTCTGCGTGCAACGTATCGAGCCAGCGCTGTTTCGGGCGCCCCTTGGGCCGCTTTCCGTGCACGTCTATGTTGAGGCCGATCTTGCGAACACTGTCATCATTTCCGCGAAGAACGTGGCCAAACCAACGAAGCCGAGCTTCGCGCATTTTATCAGCAATGGGAGCTACACCAAAGCGTTCTCGTATGACATCGTTCCGGACGCGATCTAATCGCGTGACACCAGCCGTCCAGCGCAGCATCTTCGTCTCCATTACACCGAGGCGAGTTTCAGTGTCCCTGGTCGCTGGCCAGCACTCAGCGCCGTACAATGCCACTGGTCTTATGACTGTCCTATAGATCTTCGATTTTAGGCGTTCTGGGATTTTCTTGTCACAGAGAACTCCCGTCATAGAACGCCACTTGGACCAAGCCGCACTCACACGCGAGTTCACCTCAGTACTCATACTGCCATCAGACGCAATTGCTGATCCAAGGTACTTGAATGTCGTTGCACGTGTCAGCTCTACTCCATTTATTTTGATAGAACCGCACTCGCTCGTGTCGGTTGTCAGGTACTCAGTCTTCCTAACGTTCAACCTGAGTCCGAACATCGCTAGGCGATCGCACCAAGCTTGCGCTTGTTGTTCGAGTACGTTTTTGTCTTCGCAGGCGAGCATCACGTCATCAGCATAGAGAAGCGTCCATGGAGCCGGTTTCTGAAGATCTCGTGAGATGGCATCCATGACGACAACGAAAAGAAGTGGGGAAGCGCAGAGCCCTGATGTACCCCAACAGAGATGGGGAATTCTGTCGAAACGCCAGCTGACGTTTGCACTCGGCTCTTTGGGCTTGAGTAAAGCATGCGAACCCACTCGATAAGCTCTTCGGGGACGCCATGTTGTCGTAAGGCGTACCATATTACTTCACGTGGAACGCGATCAAAAGCCTTCTCCAAGTCTAGAAAGGCAAAATGCACCGGCTTTTGTTTTTCACGGTGTTTTTCTAGCAGAAGACGAGCGGCGTGTATGGCATCAATGGTGCCGCAGCCAGTCACGAAGCCGCATTGGTTCACGGTAAGCTGGACTATGTCACGAATACGGCGATCTACAATTCGTTCGAATACCTTCATGCTGTGGGAGAGCAGACGAATTGGTCGGTAGCTCGTGCAATCTGCAGGACTCCCCTTTTTTCTTCCAAATCGGGATCGTCGTACTCTGTTGCCAACTCTCGGCACTTTCTTTTCTGCGACGACTTGGTTGAAGAAGTTCGTCAGCCACTCTGCTGGATTCCAGCACTGTGACTTCCACAGATCGGCCGCCAAGTCGTCGGGACCCGTTGCTTTACCTGTCTTCATCTTCTTCAAAGCCGCCTCTGTTTCGCTCACAGTTATCTTCGAGACAGGGCCGTGGACCGGAGGAGCAGAAGGTATTGGCGGGTGTGAGAATTCTACTGTCGAGATTTTCTCGAAGTAGTCGTGCCACCGCTTCACAGCCCTCTTGCGGTCCATTACGAGTCGCCCGTTCTCGTCATTGATGCCAAAGAACTTCTCGATATCTTCGGTCTGGCGATGGCGAGCCTTGGCTAGTTTGTAAATATAGCGTTCGCCGTCGCGCGTCTCGAGCTTCTCGCTAACGCCATCGAGATGAACTGCTCTAGCAACAGCCACAGCTTTCTTTGCTGCCTTCTTCGCGCTCTGATAGTTGTTCCAGTTATCGCTTGACTTGTCACCGAGAAACACTTGGTAGAGCCTTTTCTTCTCCCGTACTTTTTCTCTGACAGTGTCGGTCCACAGCCATGTCTGCTTGTCGATTTTCCGCCGTCCAGGCTTCGTAATGCCAAGCTCGGAGCGAGCAACACGGACTATCGCTTCTGTGGCACATTTCCATGTTTCGTCGACAGTCGTTACTGGCGGTAGCCGAATGCGACTGAACAGAGCGGATTCCTTTTCTTTCAATCGCCACCACTTGATCCTTGCAGGCCCACACCGTTCGGCTTTCTTGGTCCTTGGAGGGGCAATCTTTAATGTGCAAATCAGTGGTCGATGTTGCGTAGCGACTGTCTCGTACGGCACTGTCTTCGCGTCCGTCACTAGCCCTCGATCACGTTGCCTGACAAGAACGAAATCAATCTGAGTTCTGGTATTACCGCTGTAGAACGTGATGAGGTGTGAGTCACGTTTACGATAGTTTGTGTTCACGATGGTGAGATTGTGAGAGCTTGCATATTCAAGAATTCGCTCACCATCGGCGTTTCGTGACCCATAACCAAACCCACCATGACAACTATAACCATCTTTCGCAGATCCAACGTGTCCATTAAGGTCACCTGCGACAATGATAGCGTCCTCCGATGGTACCTCAGCGGTTTTCTCATCTAACAGGGCCCAGAACTCGTCCTTGGCTCGTTCGGAGCAGCCAGTCTGTGGAGCGTAAGCAGAAAAGATGTGGTATTGACGCTGCTCCATAGCAACAACGATCTTCATCAAGCGGTCATCGTAACGTTCGACATTCGCAATAGAATCGCGGAAACGTTCAGAGACAACCACACCGACGCCGCTGGTTGTCCTGGGACTGCCACAGAGAACGACTTTGAAGCCGCGGCCAATGTCCCTCGACTTACAGCAGGACCACCTCGTTTCCTGCACGGCACAGAAATCAATTCTTCGGCGCTCCAGTGCTTCTACCAACTCGCACGAGCGACCTGTCAATGTGCCAACATTCAATGTTGCAACGCGAACCTTCCATACGTTGCGGGACTTTTGGACTAGCCTAGTTGCCCCCCGATGCCGTCCTTGCACCGGAGACCCTCGCATACTTTTCACACTCGCCGGGCTTTGCGAGTGCGCGTCGGCTCCCGCGGACGCCGTAGCATTATCTCGATACTCACATAGCGACATGACATTTGTGATGTGACGTGGGTGTTCGTAGGCCGGCCTGTCACGGGGGCCTGTCGCCTGCATTCGAATGTCCGCGTTTCAGCTCAGCTCACAAAAGACGCCGACCGGTGCTGCGCGTGAGCAGTTTCCAGTGGCACCACTTGGAGGAACGGACACCACCACCTTTTGACGCGCCATTACTTGAAAAAAATCTTATTTCTCAAATATGATTATAGGTTTTTGGAAATTGTTCTTCCCGTCGTATTCTGACTTGATTTTGTATGTAATATCTAAATTTGGGACAATTTCGTTGTGTATCGGCCGCGCTAGATCAAAAATAAAAAAGTTTCCAAACTTTTGACCGCTACTGTATATCGCGCACTGCAGGCTATGTCGGACCGTGCAAGACATATGTTTCCCGCACCCCTTGCATCATTTCTTTGAGCGAATTCCCGTATTTTTCCAAATTTTTTTTTGTTTTCAATATATAGATCCCATATTAACGGAACAACAAAGTGGTCCACGAAATGCTTCACTTTAACAGAGGTTTCCCGAACCTCATGAACTTTACAATTCAGCTCAAACTTTGACTCTTTAGAAGAAAGTAAATTGTGCTTGCATCTGAATGTTTGGCTAAAACTTTGTGGATGATAGATTTGTCAAATTATAAGGAGTCCCAACTGTTATAGTTGGACAAATCTCACACGAACACTTCAACAATAGTTTCAATTCCATCCATTTTGTATACCTAACTAGGCGTTTACTAATCGGAACTTATGTTGGAGGAGCTACTTTGTTTGTGCCGTATCATGTACATTAGCTTACTGTTACCGCTCTCACAAGTCGTTAATATTTTGATCTTCCAAAAACGCGCCTTGTCGCACCATGGGAGGATACATTCACCGCGACAGGTGTGGTCGCAGAATCGCGTCGATCCCACATGGCCAAAAACACGGAAACTTGCAATGTCGTCAATGCGTTAATTGGTCCAAGACTAATTACTGGTAGAGATGTCGCTGTCTTTTTGCTTATGAGTGAATTGTGGTCATTCAGGTACTAACAGCAGCAATTCGCCGGTTACGTGTCCGAGCGACGAAGGGTATCAGGTAAGCAAGCAGAACATGCTTTGAGCAAAATTTTCGGTAGTGTTCAAATATTACAAACCCAGATCTGTTGCCAGAAGGCGAACATCTGCTGATGCAATCTGCTAACGAATTCAAGCATGTTGAAAAGTGCAATGTCTTCATACAGCTATCAACCAGAACATGTGAATTACCACAATAATATCTGAACTTTCAAGATAAAGCTGGCTAACAAAATAAAGCGTGAATGCAAGATACGCGGACATTGCGAGGAAAACGCATGTAAAACCGCGCCAACGACCGATTTTTCGTTGGAAACTGGACTAAGCTCAGGGGTGGTAGACTCCAGCATGTGTGAGTAATTTTCATTTCCTCGAAATTTGTGGTGTATGAGACCCGATTATCTCCACGTGTGTCTGAAGCGAACACCGAGAAGAACAGAGTTTATTAGAAACAAAACAATAACTGAACAGAAATGAACAGAATGGTGTGAGAATAAAGGGGGTAGACGAGTAGAAGTCGTCCAGTTGAGGGGGTCCTTGAATAGGGCGAACGGCGGCTGCTGGAGTAGTCGTTGGGGAGGTGGGGGTTTCTGACGAGAAGACTTCTGGCGGGCCCGATGCCCGCACCGCCGGAGACCAGAGGAAGACGACTTCAGAAGATGCATCTGCCTTTTATAGGGAACTCCTGGTCCTCTTGACCTCCGGCGGGAAATTCCTCTCGCGATCACTGTCCCGTGACCTTCTAATCATTCGATCAGTTCCCGATCTCCACAAATTCCTGTTCAACTTCTCAGGCTTACTCTTGGGGGAATCGTGCTCACTATAGCGCAACTTTCTAAATGTTTATAGGAAAAAAATGAGACTGGCGCAGTAAATAGGACAGATTCTGCTTAGAATACATCACAGATGTTGGCATGGTCACTTTGTTAGGTGTCTGAGAGCCCCAGTATATTCGACAGGCTTGAACATTTTCTCTTGTGTTAATACCGAGCGAACTATTGTGTCAACAGATGTCCCCTTATCGTACAACAGACCCCAGCCCCAGGTATCTGCAACATTGGAACACCAAGAAACTCGAGTCAAAAATCTTTTCACCAAATCTTTGTCTATCAGAGTGTTTCATTGGGATGGTCACATTTTGATACTACTTATGCCCAGTCGTGCCAAGGTGACACCAAACGGCACTGGCACCACATATGAATGAGTCAAACCTTGAACGGTTTGTGTACAAGTTCAGAGTGCTGAGCAACCAAGAACAAAACCATCAACAAACTTTATTAAAAATCGGACAATAGAAATAACGGGCAAATATTAGTTTGTCCAGAAATCAATGCGGGTTTCAATGTCTCACACTTTATTCAGACATTTTTCCGAGAAATTTTCTTCCGATTGCTGTACTGCGGCACGTCGTTGAGAAGCCCATTTCATTCTCTTTCTTACACAGCTGTTGTGTTTTGAAGGGGCTCCGACCTCACCTTCAGAAAGGTTAAAATAGAAGACGTAAAACCAGCACGCAATCACATGTAATGAGGTGAAAGCGCACGGGAGAAAATTTGCCGTTTTAGCATGCGTGTATACCCCATCCCTTAGAGAATGGTGAAGTGGAAGTAAAATAGTGAAAATAGAGGGAAAAGTGGAGGGAAGTAAAGGGAAAGATAGAGTTTTGCGGTTTCATGATAGTTTAATACCTCCCCCCCCGCTCGGCGGTGTTTTTGAGGGAGAAAGAAGTTGTGATGTAGGGGTGATATGAAATCTTTCGTGAAGAAGATGGATCGTAGAAATTTTGACCGACACTGCCGGTTAGGCTGCTTTCATACTTTGCGCCGGTGCGGTCCGTGTGGACGGTGCGGAGAGACACGTGTGGGCGTCAACAGCGCATGACTCGTACTTGGCGTACAGTCGGTAGCTGACCGATAATTTCTATTTCATTATGTTTTTCCCTTTATTTTTTGACCAGTTTGGCTGCGCACGCATTCGCGTGCATCACACGGGGGTTCAAACAGGATGATCACTGTTCTTTTCTAGATTTTAGTTTTCTTTCGGTACATCCCATTTACACCGACTATTAGGTCAAACTATATTTTCTATTATAACTATAAGGCGGTTTCGGAGAGGGTCTTTCTTCCAAGACAGGGTTTTTTTCGGAAGGTGGTAAGGCTGAAAAATTATGTCTGTGACCAATGTTCTCTCTCTATTACTGCAGAGCTGCTGAGTGAGATTCCAAGGTACGGCTGCTTTGGAGACACTCCTCTTTCGAAATTCATGGGTAACCCCGCCCACTTTTGCGCATGTCCTGCCCACTGAGACTTCATTTCCTTCGCTGACCTCTATACTTTTTTCCTGGTGTCCAAGACTTCTTGGAACCGAGTAATAATGTTTCGTGCATAACTCCGCCCACTTTTGTGCAAGCTTAGCCCACCATTAGCATTTAACCCCTTTCCCTCCGGCAACCCTTATCCACATTTTCCCGGTCGCCTAGCCTTCTAGGAACCGAGTTATGAGAGTGGTGGCAAACTCCGCCCACTTCGGGTGTGCCACGCCCAGCGTTCACATTCAACCTCTACTCCTCCTCTCACCTCTATACACATTTTTTCAGGTCTCTAAGTCATCTCGGAGCCGAATTATGAGGTCTTGTAGGGGACGTTATGAGTCACGTATTTTGTGGCAAACCCCGCCCACTTTGGTGCATGGGTCGCCCACTGATATCAGTTGACTATCATCTCTTCCCCAACCTTTTTCTACTTTTTTCCCATCTCCGGAACTTATTGGAACCGAGTTATGAAGTACCGTGGCAAACCCCGCCCACTTTGGTGCATGCTCCGCCCGCCAACAGCGGTTGACCCCTTTCCCTCTGCCAACCCTTATACGCTTTTTTCCGGACTCCGGGACTCCTAGGAACCGAGTTATAAGCCTAATTGCGAACTCCGCCTATTTTGATGCAAGCCA